ACCATAAATGGACCCCTTAATTGTCCTACCACACAAGAGCGGAATGTATTTGAGCTCCCCACTTAAATGAAGTCTTGCACCAATGAAAACTATTGTCCCAAGTCCCTGTTTAAATGACACGGTTAAAAAGAAATTAGTCTTATGTTATGATCAATAGGAAAAGCCATTACTGATACTAAAATTGACAGGAAGATTTGAGGAATTTTACCACTTTGTTCATTTAGCAGCTCTGGAACTCTAGTGCACTCATAACAGTAATCCACCCCCAGTTTACCTGTAGTCTCTTTGATCAATTCTGATACAGGTTTATCAGATTCTTTTGGATTGATAAATTCAGTACCTGCATACCATGTTGTAACTAATTGATTCTTGCATTCAGTTGGTTAAACACTACAGTTTGGTAATCAGTTAAGCGGGTTACAATTAGTTAGAATCAATGAAACTGTTACTTGTAATCTGGTAGTCGTTATAACTGATGTGTGTGTATATATATATATATATATATATATATATATATATATATATATATATATAGGACCAAGAGGGCTGAGAATAGAATGTGAGCAAGAGGGGAGCATTTTCTGTTGAGAGAGAAAGTGAGATTGAGAGAGAAAAGTCTCTGTAGACAATCTCTGAAACTTCTTGTGACTTTCTTCTGGTTGTGTCTCAGTTAAGTGATGAGTTCTTTGTTTTGTAAAACCATCACTGTGTAATATCCACTTGAATGTCAGATTGAATGTGAAAGAAAATCCCTGCAAGTTGAAACATGAAATTCTTGGGTCCATTAATCTGATTTTTGCTGAGTTTCTGTCCTGCCATTAATATGATTTTTGCCGAGTTTCTTTCCTACCAGGATATGTTTGTCTATAGCATATTTCAATTTTCATGCATATATTTTTTTGTATTCATTACTGCAGGAGAACAAAGACTACAAGGATTTCAAGGACAAAAATGTGAGCGAGATTTACATCCGTTATCGCGTGCTATTTGGTGAAAGCTACCACGGTGACAAGTATGCAACGACCCCAAGCCTGTTGTCTAGAACGGGCTTAGCTGTGTTTGAGAATAGTGCAGCAGGGGACCACTTGGATGACATTCCTGTTGATGGAGAGGGCAGTGATTCTAGCGATGAGAGGGACGGTGGAACTAGTCTAGGAGGTACGAACACTTCGAGTGCTCGAAGTGGTGAGAAACGACAATCATCCACGAAGGGACGGAAGGGGAAGCACAAGAAAATTTCGGCCCGTGGTCTCTCATTTTCCGTGGAATGAGCGACCATTGCAGTTGAAGAAGTGGTCGTAAATCTTAATAGCGTCATACATGATAACAAGAATGTCGAGGCTGCATGTATCAAGGAGTTGCTCGCGGCAGGACGGCTACAGCGTCGCACCCCTCTGTATTTCTATGCCTGTACACTCCTGGCGCAGAAGCGCTATTGGGATATGTTATCTGTCATAAGAGATGCAGACCAAAAGTTCGAATGGATTGAATGGCATCACTCCACTAGGAGTTCACTGTTTGCTACGTACTTATGTAATACTGTAGTGGTGCACCCGAACATTTAATTTTTCCTGTACTCTTACCTGCTTATAAATGGACGGGTTGGACACTTGTGTTAGTATTAATGTTATGTAGCTACTATTGTCAATTTGTGTTGCTTACTGTTGTGATGTGCTTTGGTTGATTGTGGAAGGCGGGTTCGGGCGAGAAATTGGAAATAATCTAGGTCAATAAAACCATATGAATGCATGGTTGAGTCATGGAGTTCAATATGATGGAGGTAATAAGCTCAAAGAACGAGATTTCATGAAGGTAGATGAAGCCAAACAAACTGGGAGCAATTGTGCCAAATTTGTAAAACCCATTACTCTCAACGTTGATCAAGTTAAATTAAAGGAGAAATTGAAGAATAATAAAGGAGAAACCCATTACTCTCAAACCTTGATCAAGTTAATAGGATTTATTCTTAGGAGTCTAGTTACGTTTCTACAATAGTTTAGGAGTTTAATTCCAATTTTAATTAGGTTTAGGGAATGTTAGTATAAATAGGATTATTCATTGTATTTTTTTGACAACTTGTATCATGTTGCGTATTTTACTCGTGTTGAATAGCATGTCCTATATATGTACTCATTTTGCAGGGAATCTTGCAGCCCATTTTTGCTGTATAACATGTCTCCAATCATGCAGCCTTTGTCTTTTTTGTTTTCATTCTCCCAATCAATTAGCCCACTTGCTACAACGAGGCAAACTTAACTTTTGCATTCTCCTATATAAATGAATGTCCCCCAATGGGTGGCCAAGAACCTTATTACGATAATGTGTTCCCGGATTGCTGGTACGCTATGGGTGATCTGACCTTTGATTGCGTGCTACAACCAAGATCTGACGTAGAAGAAGAGCTCGATGATGAGTTGTTCGACCGTCTTGCGAATGACATGACAACTTGGGTCACATTTTCAGCCGTTGCAGGGATCGATGCTCGGATCTATCATCCCACAAGCAAAATCGGGTGCAACGATTCCTGTTCTCCAGAAATGGGCACATGTTCATGATGGAGGCTATGAGCGGGAATGGACAGATGTGCTACCAAGAGTTTCAAATGTACCCACCAATGTTGCGCCACTTTGCACATTTGCTGCGAGACAAATATAGTATAACAAGAAGCCAGCAGGTAGATATCTACGAGAAAGTTGGTATGTTCCTGTGCATACTTGCACACGGGAAGGGATATCGACAGGTGACAAGGATTTTCTATCACTCTTTGCAAACTGTCTGTCAATTCTTCAAAGAGGTGCTACGTGCCATTGTGTCGCTATCTGAACGTATTATTTGACCATCGCATAACTACAATGACGGTGTCAAGCCACACAAGCCGGACCCGAACAAACATCCACTATTTCAGGATTGTATTGGGGTTATTGACGGAACACATGTGCGAGCCGTGCTCCCGCGCCACGAACGGGTGCACTTCATTGGTCGAAAAGGAATACCAACCCAAAATGTGTTGGTCGCATGTGATTTCAATTTATGTTTCACATTCGTGCTTGCTGGTTATATCGGGAACACGCATGACGCACGAATTCTAGCTTGTGCTATATACAGCCCGGAGATAGAATTTCCGCAGCCAGCAACGGGAAAGTATTATTTGGTGGATTCCGATTTTGCTCATCGACCGGGGTATATGGCCCCTTACAAAGGTTTAAACATACTGTATCACTTTCAGCAGTTTCACGACGAATGAACAGGTCAGCGTCGTAGGTTTCGAAATACTCGTGAGAAGTTCAACTTCAGGCACTCTTCGTGCAAGAATGTCATTGAACGTGCATTTGGTGTGTTGAAGCAGAGATGGAAAATCTTTGATCGTTTGCCTAGTTACTCGTTCCCAACACAAGTTGCAGTTGTCTTAGCTACTATGGCCGTTCACAATTTTCTGCGTCGTTCGGGAGTTGTGGACGAGGCATTCGCAAGAGCGAAAACGGATGATGACGTTGCCGAGGTGGAGTTACCTAACGCTGAGGATGAAATTCAGGTCGAAGTAAATGCGCCGGAGATACAACGGAATGAGTGGGATAGACTTCGCGATTACATGACACAACAATCGTGACGATCGCATTTAGGGACCTCACATGCGGCACATGAAAATTGGTTTGAAGGTATTTCAACACTTTGACTTAATGTTGTCGTCACCGTTGCAAGAGTTCTATCCGTGTATTATGTGTATGTACTTATGTCGAACGTGAAAATTGGTTTGAAGGTACTTCAACACTTTGTATTTTTTTTTCCATTCACAATAATTGTAGGGACTGTCCGCCTATTGACATATTTTTTTTTTCATTTTTTTTTTAAATTTACGTTGTGTTTGGTTCAAGGGGGGACGTCTTTGTTATTTTGAGTTTTTATTTGCAAACGTCTAAACAATTAAAATGGTCACCTAAAAATCTTGGAAGTGGTTGTATCTGTCTTCATTGTGTTTAATAATGCAAAAATATGGCTGATACTTTTGACTATTCTTTGCCCACTTTTGTGGCTATCTTCATAATGCAGCATTTTGACTATTCTTTGCCCACTTCTGTGACTTTCCACAATTTGCTGACACTTTCACTTGGTATGGGCAAAATAAGAAATTTTATACTTTTTGACTGTTGCAACGTCTGATAAGTGCAATGTACAGGGGACGGTCGAATTTTTCATTAAAATGAGCCAAAAATATGGCACAAACAGGGATTAAATTGCAGCATGATATACTCGCAAAGAACGGGCTTGTTACCAATTGTTTTGAACTCTCGTTTCTACGCGTCTATGCCTCTACGAGCTGTGGTGTGTACAATATCCTTCTTCTCCTGAACATACTTTGTTATATAGAAAATGCCCCTTCGTACAATAAGCTCAAAAACTCTCATGCCCCCTAAAAACTCCATCTCCTTTTTCTATTTTTACTTTCTTAATTTCAATTTCAAGGTACGCTTAAGTTTCTTCTTTTCTCGTACACAACATTCTTACTGCCTCTCAGGATTCAACAACAATAGTAGCACTGGTGAATACGTTTGTACAAACAGTAGAAGTAGAATGTGCCCAGATGGGCATTTCAAAAACCTAATCTTGAAAACATTACACGAAAATCCTAGGGCATTTAAAAACACTTATTGGGAAGTTCCCGATTATTTTAATGTTTTGATAATTGATTCTGAATTGTTTATAAATGTTTTAAAGTCGATTCGACACAGACCAAGTGTGGTGCTCGGTTTGTTCAGATGGGTTGAGGTGCAAAAGGGGTTTAAGCATTCAGAATTTGTATTTTGTACTGTTCTTGAAATTCTTGTGCAGAACGATATGATGTCATCTGCTTATTGGGTGGCTGAGAGGGCCATCAGCATGAATTTGCACTGTGTTGTTGATGTATTAATTGATGGATACTTGAAATATGATGTCTCGGTCAAGTTACTTGATTTATTATTGTGGGTTTACTCAAAAAAATCTGATGTTAAGCATTGTTTACTTGTTTTTGACAAGATGGTAAGGATCAGGTTTTTGCCGGATGTGAAGAATTGCAACAGAGTTCTTAGGATACTTAGGGATAGAAATTTGGTTGCGAAAGCTAGAGAAGTGTATGGGATGATGGGGGATATTGGGATCGAGCCTACAATTGTAACCTATAACACGATGTTGGATTTACTATGTAAAAAAGGTGAAGTGCAGCAGGCACTTGACCTTTTGCTGGAGATGCAGCGGAGGGATTTCAGTCCGAATGATGTTACATATAATTTGATGATCAATGGGTTGTCAAAGAAAGGTGAGTTTGATCGGGCCAAAGAGTTGATTGGGGTGATGTTGAATAAAGGGTTGGAGGTTTCATCGTATACATACAACCCTCTTATAAGTGGTTATTGTCAGAAGGGAATGCTTATCGAGGCACTATGGCTTGGGGAAGAGATGGAAATTAGAGGAGCCTTGCCTTCTATATCGACTTACAATGCATTTATGCATGGGTTCTGCAAGTTAGGGAGAGTGAATGATGCCTGGCAATGGATTCCCGTGATGCTGAAGAAGAACTTGATGCCTGATGTTGTTACATACAACACTCTGATATATGGACACTGTCAGTTGGGGGATATTACCAAGGCTTTGTTCTTGTTGTTTGAGATGAGGAGAAGGAATGTCAAACCTACTTTGATAACCTATAATACAATGATGGATGGACTGTGCAAACATGGGGATTTAGATTCTGCTATGCGGCTGAAAGATGAAATGATCAGTTATGGCATTTTTCCTGACGCTTTTAGCTATACAATTCTCATAGATGGTTCTTATAAGGCAGGAAACTTATTGATGGCGAAGAAAGTATTTGATGAGATGGTGAGCAAAGGGGTGGAGCCTGACCGGCTTGCCTACACAACTTGCGTTACGGGTGAACTGAAGCTTGGTGAGTGATACTTCTATGCCATTCTTGTTACAAGAAGGAATGCTATTAATGTATTATGTTTTTTGCGGATGGGATATGTATTTTGGATCGTTTAGAATAAGCTTGTGAATTTTTTTGAAGATGGTCCGTGATGGTGCCTTGCCTGATCATATTGCATATAATAGCACCATTCACTTTGACTTGGAAATTGGTATCTTAGGAAAGCCAGGGAGTTGTTCTAGGGCTGGTATGCTGCAGCTGTGAGCCCGTGACACACATTTTGATATATACTTGAGTGCATAAAGTAGATAGATATGTCCATGACAGAAGTAGTTTTGGAGCAAAACTTGAATTCAAAACATTTGTTCTTAGTAACCAGGGCGAAGAATTGAAGAAGATGATTGGTGCAGTTACTTATATTTTGGAGCAAAACAGTAAGCTAAGCCTCATTCACAATAAATTTGGGGTGAGCTATATGAATCCTTTCTCGTGATTCTGTATTGCTATGTCTATTTGAAGATCCAAGTCAACTATTTTTCTCATCATCAAAGAAAAAATTGGCTGTCGATGACATTAGTGCACTAATTTAATCCACCAAAAGTTAAAGATGTATTTTCAGATTTTCATTTGGCCCTGAAATTCCAGCAATACTTATTTAAATGCCTACACTTGATCACAAATAATGGTAACCTGGGTCGGTGCTCATTGCTGCCATTTAATTCCTTCTGTTTTTATTCATTTGTTGTTAGCAATCTTAAATGGAGTAGCTGTCCCAATTTTTTGCCTTCTAATGTTGCATGGAAGATGAATCTTTTTTTAAAGGTGCCACCATTTAATCCCAAATAGATTAGGCATTTAGCAGCAAAGATAATAGTTGTGGTTAAAGGCTTAAAGCTAATATAATGTGAGGAACACAATACAGCATGGTAACTATGTCTCTCATCACGCTGGAGCAAGAATGTGGATGAAGTGAGATTAATGGAACACTTCCATTACAACTTCATTTCATGCTTGAAGTTCCCTATTGACTTGCTTAGCTGTTTTTGTATTATAATTTATCTCACTTCAGGTCTTGCTCATTTATTTGTGTACAGGGTACTTATCAGGCCACATCCTGCAATTTGGCACCTGGTTCATGGATTGGCATTGTTTACCTTGTTGTATTGGAGCAAGAATGTGGATGAAGTGAGATTAATGGAACACTTCCATTACAACTTCATTTCATGCTTGAAGTTCCCTATTGACTTGCTTAGCTGTTTTTGTATTATAATTTATCTCACTTCAGGTCTTGCTCATTTATTTGTGTACAGGGTACTTATCAGGCCACATCCTGCAATTTGGCACCTGGTTCATGGATTGGCATTGTTTACCTTGTTGTATAACATTTTTGTTATTTCAGGTCAGTTTATTTTTTCAGCACACTCTTTTTTTATCATTTCTTCAATGATGACTATATTGAGTTTTCAATTTTTTATTTTTTTATTTTTTT